CTAGCCTACTTTGACCTTGACATTCTGAAACCCTAAACTCTAGCCTATTGTGACCTTGACATTCTGAAACCCCAACCTCTAGCCTATTGTGACCTTACATTCTGAAACCCTAAACTCTAGCCTATTGTGACCTTGGCATTCTGAAACCCTAAACTCTAGCCTATTGTGACCTTACATTCTGAAACCCTAAACTCTAGCCTATTGTGACCTTGACATTCTGAAACCCTAAACTCTAGCCTATTGTGACCTTGACATTCTGAAACCCTAAACTCTAGCCTATTGTGACCTTGACATTCTGAAACCCTAAACTCTAGCCTATTGTGCCCTTGACATTCTGAAACCCTAAACTCTAGCTTATTGTGCCCTTGACATTCTGAAACCCTAAACTCTAGCCTACTTTGACCTTGACATTCTGAAACCCTAAACTCTAGCCTATTGTGACCTTACATTCTGAAACCCTAAACTCTAGCCTACTTTGACCTTGACATTCTGAAACCCTAAACTCTAGCCTATTGTGACCTTACATTCTGAAACCCTAAACTCTAGCCTACTTTGACCTTGACGTTCTGAAACCCTAAACTCTAGCCTATTGTGACCTTACATTCTGAAACACTAAACTCTAGCCTACTTTGACCTTGACATTCTGAAACCCTAAATTCTAGCCTCTTGTGACCTTACATTCTGAAACTCTAAACTCTAGCCTACTTTGACCTTGACATTCTGAAACCCTAAACTCTAGCCTATTGTGACCTTACATTCTGAAACCCTAAACTCTAGCCTACTTTGACCTTGACATTCTGAAACCCTAAACTCTAGCCTACTTTGACCTTGACGTTCTGAAACCCTAAACTCTAGCCTATTGTGACCTTACATTCTGAAACCCTAAACTCTAGCCTATTGTGACCTTACATTCTGAAACCCTAAACTCTAGCCTACTTTGACCTTGACATTCTGAAACCCTAAACTCTAGCCTACTTTGACCTTGACGTTCTGAAACCCTAAACTCTAGCCTATTGTGACCTTACATTCTGAAACCCTAAACTCTAGCCTACTTTGACCTTGACGTTCTGAAACCCTAAACTCTAGCCTATTGTGACCATGACATTCTGAAACCCTAAACTCTAGCCTATTGTGACCTTGACATTCTGAAACCCTAAACTCTAGCCTATTGTGACCTTGACATTCTGAAACCCTAAACTCTAGCCTATTGTGACCTTACATTCTGAAACACTAAACTCTAGCCTACTTTGACCTTGACATTCTGAAACCCTAAACTCTAGCCTATTGTGACCTTACATTCTGAAACCCTAAACTCTAGCCTACTTTGACCTTGACATTGTGAAACCCTAAACTCTAGCTTATTGTGCCCTTGACATTCTGAAACCCTAAACTCTAGCCTATTGTGACCTTACATTCTGAAACCCTAAACTCTAGCCTATTGTGACCTTGACATTCTGAAACCCTAAACTCTAGCCTACGGTGACCTTGACATTCTAAAACCCTAAACTCTAGCCTACTGTGACCTTGACATTCTAAAACCCTAAACTCTATCCTATTGTGACCTTGACGTTCTGAAACCCTAAACTCTAGCCTATTGTGCCCTTGACATTCTGAAACCCTAAACTCTAGCCTATTGTGCCCTTGACATTCTGAAACCCTAAACTCTAGCCTACTTTGACCTTGACATTCTGAAACCCTAAACTCTAGCCTATTGTGACCTTACATTCTGAAACCCTAAACTCTAGCCTATTGTGACCTTGACATTCTGAAACCCTAAACTCTAGCCTATTGTGACCTTACATTCTGAAACCCTAAACTCTAGGCTATTGTGACCTTGACATTCTGAAACCCTAAACTCTAGCCTATTGTGACCTTACATTCTGAAACCCTAAACTCTAGCCTATTGTGACCTTGACATTCTGAAACCCTAAACTCTAGCCTATTGTGACCTTACATTCTGAAACCCTAAACTCTAGGCTATTGTGACCTTGACGTTCTGAAACCCTAAACTCTAGCCACTGTGACCTTGACATTCTGAAACCCTAAACTCTAGCCTATTGTGACCTTACATTCTGAAACCCTAAACTCTAGCCTATTGTGACCTTAACATTCTGAAACCCTAAACTCTAGCCACTGTGACCTTGACATTCTGAAACCCTAAACTCTAGCTTATTGTGCCCTTGACATTCTGAAACCCTAAACTCTAGCCTATTGTGACCTTACATTCTGAAACCCTAAACTCTAGCCTATTGTGACCTTGACATTCTGAAACCCTAAACTCTAGCCTATTGTGACCTTACATTCTGAAACCCTAAACTCTAGCCTACTTTGACCTTGACATTCTGAAACCCTAAACTCTAGCCTATTGTGACCTTACATTCTGAAACCCTAAACTCTAGCCTATTGTGACCTTGACATTCTGAAACCCTAAACTCTAGCCTATTGTGACCTTACATTCTGAAACCCTAAACTCTAGCCTACTTTGACCTTGACATTCTGAAACCCTAAACTCTAGCCTATTGTGACCTTACATTCTGAAACCCTAAACTCTAGCCTACTTTGACCTTGACATTCTGAAACCCTAAACTCTAGCCTATTGTGACCTTACATTCTGAAACCCTAAACTCTAGCCTTTTGTGCCCTTGACGTTCTGAAACCCTAAACTCTAGCCTATTGTGCCCTTGACATTCTGAAACCTATATAGCATATTGCGGTTCTCATAGTTTACCCTGAACAGATCTGTTCGTTGAAAAACTTACATCGGCAGTAACTTCCGGTTTCGAAAAAATACCATTTCCGGTTTCGTTAAAGTCTTTGGGTGAGAAGAATCTTCTAGTATCGTTCAAGTGGGTAGGGAGGAAAATGTACTTTTCCGTTATAAGGTATCAGGCGTCAATGGCTGGACCTCAAACAGATGAAACGTGTAGGGTCAAAGAGTGGTTGATCGACGTTAAGATTAGGTAGGGTTTGGGTGATTAGATTTTGGTTTAACTTAAGGTTACGTTTCAGGTTGCTACACATCTTGCAGGATGTCCCAGTACCATAGGAACGCTAGAAGAGAAAACCTCGGATTTTGTTTTCCTCCAAGCTAAAAATAGACTCACCTCTCCAAAATTGCTTGTATTTCACTTTCTCTTGTGGCGTAAAGTTTTAAAAAGTTTTGTTCACGCTAGAGTTATTTCCCCTTAACAGCTCAGGAAAATACGGACTAGTTGTAAATGTAATCTTCCGTTGATTCTTTTTATTGAAGATGACGTCAGATTGTTCTGGTCACGTGTGCCTGTCAGTCACTTGATGATAAGAAAACTTACAGCAATACAAAACATTATGTCATTCGTCACACGCGAACATTGAAATATTTTTTTACCCGTTTTTTTTTTAATTTAAAAGTTTTATCTACGTTCTCACAGTTTTTTTAAGCTAATTTTTAAAAAATTACTTACTTTTAAAAACTCGAACGTGTTTGTTTTATTCTTAACTTTAAAACGGGATGCTTGCTCGTTATTTTTCTCTCACGTTACATTTTCTATTTTACTTGAGGGGGGGGGGGGTTAACAACTTAGTTTGTATGGCCGTTTGGGTTTTTATTTTTAGTACATTTTCTCAACTTTTCTATTATTATTTTTTTAATTTTTAGGAGTAAGATAATTTGGTTCACAAGGTAAAAAAAAAAGTTGAATTTAGCTTGACCTTGACCCTGTCGCGACCAGCCTCTGGTCGCTATTTCTTGTAGTTTTAACGAACGCACGCGATGTCTGATAGACTGTGAGCAAACTTCACGTGCTTTACCTGGGCCAGGTGTGAGCACATTGACGGGATACTTGTCTCCCTTGTTGTGATTAAAAAAAAAAAGTTTTGTTTGCCACAGTTGGCAAAGTTTTGTTTTTCTACTGTAGGTAAAGTTTTTGTTGGTTAGCTTTAGGCAAAGTTTTTGTTGGTTAGCTGTAGGCAATGTTTTGTTGGTTAGCTGTAGGCAAAGTTCTGGAAATTAGCATTGATTATCGTAGATGACTGGAAGTTTTTAGTTTTGCTGCCCAGAGCTACGGGGGGGGGAGGGGCTGGAGTTGAAGGTCAAGGAACTGACCAAACAATACAGTTCTTGTATCACGAGGTCAGTCCCCCTCTCCACAGTTAGAGAGTATCATGATAGATTTTCATCTCTGGCTATTCCAAAGGCATGTCTGACCGTACCTGCCAAACACTGTTGTTATTTTTTTCACTTTCGTACCTTTACACAGTGGGGAGTAGAACAATGAACAGAGGAGAGTTCATAAAAGGGTGGTGGGGGCTACCGAAAGGAGAGTTTGACTATCAAATTGGGGGGTGCGACCATTAAAAGGGGAGTAGGGTTAACATAGGCGGAGTGGAATTATTAACATCTTGAACTGTACCTTTCTCTTTGTAAACCAGGAATTTTTTAAACCTTTTCTTGTGGGTGTACCGTCTAACACAATATAGGAAAAGTTTATTTCTCTATATCAACATTATACAATGAAGGTCTCGAAATATTATCTTTACTTGTTACATGGCTTTAATCTTCACCTAAATCATGTCTTACTATCATCTAATTACTTGTCGTTCATCACTGAAGGAAGAAAGTGTTGTTAGATTGAGCAATTTTCAGCAGCTTTTTATTATTACTTATTATAAATATCCCACTGTCGGTACCGTTTTCATGTCTTCAACTTCGAGGGCTTTCATTTATTTTTATTAATTTCCAATGCTTGAACTTACGCAATAAAAAAAACGGCAGTAGATCTACTTAGGGTAGGTGGAAGTTAAATTTGGAATTAAGTGAACACTTCCTGTAAATTAGTGGGTTTTTTTTTCGGAATTTCCCGATCATTCCTTGTTTCGTTATCGGTCTGATTAATTCTATTTTCTGTGACAACATCCATTTTAGGGTGTGAAGATTTAGATTTTACACATTGGAAGAGCAAGAAATTTGTTTCGACAATTTTTAGAATACCAGGTAATTTTTTAAATAGAAAAACATAACTTGGACCGCTATTGGCTAGCTATATTTAGAACAGGAAATACGTCACGATAAAGCAAATGTCAGACTCGTTGGTCCCGCTGGACGAGACAATAATTATCTGATATGAGGAATATACGAGGGCATCGGGCGCAATGATACATAGGGATTTACTCGCAGTTAGGAACTATTTGATTGGAGCCTGCTAGGCGGAGGCTTTTAACTAGTGGTAGTGTGTGCTGGGGAAATAACAATTGGATTGTATTCTTGAGACCTGGATTTAATTAATTAGCTGATCATGGAGAGGTCGAAGATGTCACTTCAAAGGTAAGTAACTCTTTTACAAGATTTTACTTATGTCGCAATGTCTGTCTGTCTGTCTGTAGTGCTGTAGTCAAATTTAGTAATTCAATTTCGAACCTTTACAAATAAACTTGTTTCCAGTGACAGTGCAAGGATATCTAATTTTAGTCTAATTACATACAGAGTTTCTTCCGGGCATCTCTTCCCCCCCCCCCCCCGAAATTTCCCCCCCCCCCCCCCCCCCGAACGATAATTTATATAGAAAATATATACTTTTAACAGTGTCCGCCGCCCCCCCCCCCCCCCCCCGAAGAAAGTCTACCACCCCCCCCCCCCGAAAATTTCAAGTGCCCCCCCCCCCTCCGGAGAAAAGAGTCTGGAAGAAACACTGATTATACATTAAGTTGGTGATACAAGCTAGATTTAAATATAACTAGATTTATAAATCTAGATACCTAGGACCCAGCCTGCCTGTGGTTGTCTTGGGACCCAAAGTGTCTGGTACTGAGACCCCCCGGGATCACCTGATCTCCCATCTGTTGTTTTCCCTGCCCCAGATCACGTGTCCACATACCAGACGACTCGGCAGTACTGAAAACAAACAGCAGACGTGACCTACTAAACCGATTCTCTGACCTACTTAACGGACTCGGGTTCCGCCGTTAGAAACAACAGATCCACACACAGCCACACCCAGCCACACTCAGCCACACACAGCCACATTCAGCCACACACAGCCACACACAGCCACACACAGCCACACACATCCACATACAGCCACACACAGCCACACACAGCCACACACAGCCACATACAATCACATACATCCACATACAGCCACACACAGCCACACACAGCCGCACAAAGCCACATACAACCACACACACACCCACACAGTCACATCCAGCCACAAACAGCCACACACACCCACACAGCCGCACAAAGCCACATACAACCACACACACCCACACAGCCACATACACCCACACACAGCCACATACAACCACATACAGCCGCAACACACAGCCACACACAGCCACATACACCCACATACAGCCACATACAGCCACATACAACCACACACAGCCACACACAGCCCCACACAGAACCAGGTAACAAAAGGTCAGACCTGCAGGGCTCCTCCGATTGTTTCCCCCTGGGTACGGGGAGATAAGACGCTGGGAGTCTGCACTCAAGTGGTCGTCTGCTGGTGACCCCCGGGTCGTCTGCTGGTGACCCCCGGGGTTCACAGCTGGGGGTTTTCTGTGACGTCACTTCTGGTTTGGTACTGATAAAACAATAGAAGCAACACGACCAAAGATCTAATAGATGCAGGGGGTTTAGTGTAAACTTGATATTTCACACACACATACACACTCTTTTACACACGTAAATATATACACACATACACACAAACACACACAGATATATATATATATCATTGCCAATCACTGCTGATGCCACCCGTATCTAACATCTAGACACGATGATGTACGTCTCAACATATCTGGGCATGGCCCTTACCTCCCGTATACCCACCTACGGGTTTTAATCTATAATACAATTTATGAGAAGGCAATGGCAATCCCAATTTAATTGCACGCACGAGATTCACGTAGCAACAATTAATTAACATACAACTTTTTAAAAGAACAGGCACCTCAGTATTATGTGTTTATTTCATTAAAAATAAAAATGTTTTTAGTATGTTGTGTATGTGTGTGTGGGGGGGGGGGGGGGGTGCTTCCATAATTGACGTCACACTTTTGCAGAATTAGTATCCCCACCCATCGTAAGATTTCGCACTTCAACCCTCTCGCGACATTGTTTTTTTTATACGTAACAAATTAGTAATTACTGTGCCACCTTATTATATTTAAAATTTGATAGCCTTTACTAATCGATGTATTAAGATCTACATTCTTTAATGAAAAAAAAAAGGAAAAGAGTTACCTACACAGGTGTATATGTTGTGGATACAGGTGTATGTGTTGTGGATACAGGTGTATGTGTTGTGAATACAGGTGTATGTGTTGTGAATACAGGTGTATGTGTTGTGGATACAGGTGACATGTTGTAGATACAGGTGTATGTGTTGTGGATACAGGTGTATGTGTTGTGAATACAGGTGTATGTGTTGTGAATACAGGTGTATGTGTTGTGAATACAGGTGTATGTGTTGTGGATACAGGTGTATGTGTTGTGAATACAGGTGTATGTGTTGTGGATACAGGTGTATGTGTTGTGAATACAGGTGTATGTGTTGTGGATACAGGTGTATGTGTTGCGGATACATGTGTATGTGTTGTGGATACAGGTGCATGTGTTGTGGATACATGTGTATGTGTTGTGGATACAGGTGTATGTGTTGTGAATACAGGTGTATGTGTTGTGAATACAGGTGTATGTGTTGTGAATACAGGTGTATGTGTTGCGGATACATGTGTATGTGTTGTGGATACAGGTGTATGTGTTGTGAATACAGGTGTATGTGTTGTGAATACAGGTGTATGTGTTGCGGATACATGTGTATGTGTTGTGGATACAGGTGTATGTGTTGTGAATACAGGTGTATGTGTTGTGGATACAGGTGTATGTGTTGCGGATACATGTGTATGTGTTGTGGATACAGGTGCATGTGTTGTGGATACATGTGTATGTGTTGTGGATACAGGTGTATGTGTTGTGAATACAGGTGTATGTGTTGTGAATACAGGTGTATGTGTTGTGAATACAGGTGTATGTGTTGTGGATACAGGTGTATGTGTTGCGGATACATGTGTATGTGTTGTGGATACAGGTGCATGTGTTGTGGATACATGTGTATGTGTTATGGATACAGGTGTATGTGTTGTGGATACAGGTCTATGTGTTGTGAATACAGGTCTATGTTGTAAACACATATGTCTGTATTGTAAGCTAACCACACACGTGTGATGAATTAACAAAACAGGTAAAAAAAAAACTCGTCCATGCACCTCGTCACGGTCTGCTGACGCCCCCCCCCCCCTCCCTCCCCCTCACCAACTTTGATCCTGGGCCTGTGCTCGTGTGACCTTGCTGACCTTACACGTGTACCGCGACTTGAAACACGTGTGTGCGCGCGAGATTTAATCACGTGAGATCCAGCAGACCGGAAGTGTTTCTCATCTTTTTCCTGCGTGTGACGTAAGATCAGACGATTGCACGGGTCCATGGGGCTCACAAACCTACTTCTTGTCTCACCTTTCGCATCTCGTGAACTTGTTTTTTTTTTTTGTTTTAATCACCCCCTCCCCCATTATAGTCTACCCTGTACCATATTACACAATGTTTTTGGTACACATCTTTACCATAATAACCGGTAACATGAAGTAATTCATACGACATCCTATAATTCTAGAATTCCTAGGAATGAGAATTGACGTTTAATTATAAAATGATTACATGTAAATTGGGTATTGCTAAACCGAATAGTCTCGAGTTCAAACCCTCGGGCAGATGAGGCTCGTTAGCTGGGGATAGCCACTCTTCAAGGAGAGAAAACTCCAAAATCAAACTGCTGCCTTGTAGTTTGTTCTTGGTTGGACAAAGGCTATGGAAGCAAATCCAAAAAGAAATGCAGGCTGAAATCGGAGTCAATGGCCTCAATGGCGCATAACCAGTTGACACGTATACTTAATTGTGCTGGAGGGGATCCCTTCCAACACTAATATTAAAAAACGAAGAAATAAAGATAGAATAGAACTGACCTATTTTGGAAAACCACCAAATCTTTATGTCACATGTGCTATGTGCAACAGATCTAAACGTGTTCGTTTTGTAAAAGATCAATTTCAAGGGATTCTAAAGTTGTTGAATTCAAACCTCTATACGCACAAACTTTTTAAATATCTGAACTCGAACTTTAATTATATAACGTTATACCATTTATTTTGTCAATGTGTAACTTTAATGTAATGTGTATCTTTAAAGCAGTGGCGTAGCTACCGTAAAGCTAGCGTAAGCAAGGCATAGGGGCCCAAGGCAAATAGGGGCCCTTTTTCGAAAGTCTTAGAGGGGGTGCAAATCGAAAGTTTGAGGAGGGGATGCAAATCGAAAGTCTGAGGGGGGGGGTGCAAATAGAAAGTCTGAGGGGGGGGGGGTGCAAATCGAAAGTTTGTCCCCGGTGTCCGGGAAGGGTCGCTACGCCTCTGAGGGGCCCACTAACACTTTTTGAATAGGGGCCCAAAAATCCCAGCTACGCCACTGCTTTAAAGTAATGTGTGTCGTTAATTTACACTAGACTAGACGCCCCCTCGCATACATACACACAAACCCCATCATAAAGTCGCATAAGGTCGTATACCATACTAAACAAAAATGGCGAATATTTCATAGATCTAGATCGGTCGATGAAAAATTATTTAAGATGTCTTCATAACTACGGCCAAAAACTACTTCGACAAATTTACTATTTGCTTTATTGTTTTGAAATGTTGTAGAACTGGGTGTTGATGATCATAGGCCAAATCATTACTTGCTGTTAAATTATTGGGGTTTCTTTTCAAGTTTTAGGTTGTTGTTTTTTTTTAACTGTAAAAATTTGACATGTGTATGTCTAATAGTTGGTTTTTTTTTTTATATTTTTGTTTTTTCTGCCTTAGTCTGGGTGGTACTGCCCCCTTAAAAGGTAAACTACTGGAAAGTGTGATATGTTATTTCATTGAAGATTAATTTGATTATGCTGGGATTGGAATCCGCCCTAGTTCCCGTGTTTAACAAATTAACGTTAACATGAACTACCCTTTGACCCCGCGGCCTCGAAAAGGTGTTTTTGTTTACCGTACCGCGGGTTCCTCCCCCCTCCCTCCTCCACCCCTGACACCCACTGACACATTGAAATACACAACCCAGACCCTGGGTGGGGAGAGGGTTCATCCACGAGAACAGAGACGGAGAGGGATGGGTAGTGTCACAGACGGTCTGTTGATGGGGGGGGGGGGGGGGGGTAATGCCAGAGACAGCCTGTTGGAAGAGAGGCTATTTCCAATTTCTCAAAAAAA